TAAAAAACAAAGAACTATATTCTGGAGACCCCTTAAAATGTTACTTATTACTAACAAATATTCAGCAATTACTAATCTTTAAAAAATTATATATACATTAAGTACCATAAACAACATTAAAAACAAGTAGAAAAAGAAAAGCCAGTATGCTTAAGGGACACTGAATTTCTGTTAAGGGTAATGATTTATCACAATAAAATAATAATTTTTAAATAGACTAACAATACACATAGTTTCTGAATAAAATCCAAATTATTCAGAAGAAAATCATCAAGTTACCTTGAGTGGTTTTTTGTAATCTATATTCTTTGTTTTCCTAAGAGCCTCCATTGCATCTCCCACAATATTTTCTCTACGCACCACTAGAATTAAGCAGGGATTCACAGATTCAATCACTGGGAGAAAAAGAGAGGAGACATTCTGTCTGTGGGCCTGATCAATAGCCATCTAGAAAACAAAAGATTACAATTTTAATGGCAAGGCTACTACTATGACTGGGCATAATCTTTACCTTTTATTGAGGTATGATGTGAATTCCTATGCTACTGAATTCACATAGCACCTAACATAATATCCAGGACAGCATAGGAGTTTAATACATTTTTATCAAACTCGAAGTCTTTCAATTAAAATGTGTGTGTATAAATGTGAGTTTTACATTAGCTCTACTCAATATAATTTTACCAGTCCTTGGTTCTTGAGGGATAATTCTCAAACTGAAAAATTCACTGCCATTAAGTCGATTCTAACTCACTGCAACCCTACATGATAAGATAGAACCGCCCCTGTGGGTTTCTGAGACTGGAACTCATTACAGAAGTAGAAATGTGTACCTTCTGCCTGAGGAGCAGCTAGTGGTTTTGAATCAACTATTTTGTGGTTAGCAGCCTACTATGCTACCAGGTCTCCACAAACTCAACCAAACTAACAACTAAGTCCATTCCAACTGCTAACAACCCTACGACAGGGTAGAACTACCCCTGTGGGTTTCTGACACTGTAACTCTTGAGAAGAGTAGAAAGCCTTGTCTTTCTCCCAGAGTGGTTGGTGGTTTCCAAATGTTGACTTTGGGGTTAGCAGCCCAACCCATAACCACTATGGCACCATAATCCTTACAATTTTGTAAGCAAGGTGCCATTGTCTCTGAGCCAGACTTAACAGATTATGCAGGTAACTCAGGTGGCGCTGACCAGGCCACAAAGTCCACATTGTGATTTATCAGTCAACCTAAGTGTGGAAAATGCAACAGTGGCTACATAATGGATCCCCAATATGAACTCTGAACCTAACAGGTCCCTGGGCTTCCTGGTTGATGAAAGACATCAATGAACCTACAGGGTACACCATGTCTCTTTTGGGGACATAGAAGCTTCATACTGGGAACTCTGCCAAACCTCACGGTATGCATCTTTTCATTTCTATCTTATTTTCCCCCTTTAATAAAATGATAGTAATTAAGTATATTACTTTCTGTGAGTTCGGTGAGTGGTTCCAGCAATTTATCTAACTCAAGAGTACTGAGAGCCAGCAACCTGAAAATGAGGACAGTTGAGAACTCAGAGCTAGCAGCTGACATTCTGATGAGGCAATGGGAAAATCTCAAATTTGTAGGCAGCATGTCAGAAATGTGGGAGTCCAGGGGCTCCTGAGTTTGCAACTGATAGCCTAAATGGGTAACAGGAAAGCCCTGGTAATACAGCATGTGAAGTTGCTGGCCTATTTGGCAGCTTGGCGAACTGAGTTCTTTAACTTGTGTGCTCTTACCTAGCTTCAGTGTCAGAGGAAGAAGTGCTGCATGCTGATATCAGAACTACAGAGAAGTGAAAAGTGGGCTTTTAAATTTAACATTATTATTATATTCATTAATGATGGAAAAAGTGGATTGGAATGATTAGCATAATGTATAAACTAATAACACTGCCAAACAAGCATGGAACTTTGGTAATAATAACAAATTTTCTGATGAAAATAAGGAAGAAATGGGTAGCGGGGGCATGGGGCCCTGACCCACCCAAGGGGAGGGTATAGCTTATATCTCCACAGGAAAAGAGGGACCAGATGTCAACCCAGTGCTTCAAGGTGTGAATGCAACATGCCAGTGCGGAGGAGGGAGCCAGTGGAGAGGTATGGGGGGCTGGCCCCAGTCCCAAATACTAAGTGAATGCCTGCCCCTTTCCCGAGAAGAATTTATTTCAAAGGACGGCACTCAATCTGCAGCTCCGGGAGAAAGATGTATCTGATCGGAGCACACGGGAGCAGATGACGGGGGAGGAGGAGGAGAGACTGCAGCACATCCTGGCCCACCAGGCCTTGCAGACGATGACCCCAATTAGAATAGCCAGTAACAGAGAGAACCACATGGCCAGCCCCACAGTGTGGGAATTGCACACGATCTGATCCCAACACACTGAGGCAAAGCACTGGGGGAGTGCAGCGGAACAGCAAGGGAATGGAGCAGCAAGGTCCCCAGTGAATGCTAAAGGTGGACTTTGGGGCCAGGGCGTGGTGCCCCAACAGACCGGACTGGAAAACACTCCCAAAGGC